CATTTTAAATACTTAGAGGTGTTTCAGCTTCCCTGGTTAGACCCAAATGATCCTCCATTCGACGTCTCCAGATTAAAACTCCCCAAGGAAAAGGACCATCTGTTCTCCATCTCTGAGGCATCTAACTAAGCACCTGACATTTAGTAAGTGTTCAATAGAAGTTTGATTAATTTACTGGACAATATTTACATAGAGGATAATTTTTCTAGTTACAGATGTCTGCCATGTGTGTAGCAAAAGTTAACTTTTTTAACATAAAGATGGTGAAGCACTATCCTTTGAAAAAAGAATTAGAAATATTCCTGTCTTCAATAGAAAGGAAGATTTTAAATTACTTTTAAAGATAATGAACTGGCAAACCCTCCTTCTATTACAACTGTGTTTAAATGTCTGCTTCAGCCATTAGCATTTATTTCTTCATAAAGCTTCTTGCCAAAACTTCAAATCAATTTCCAAAGTCACCCCACAATATGGGGACAATTTCCTCCTCTCCTCCATCCGTATGGCTATTTCACATGTTTTTCTTTCCACCATTAAGTCTTAAACTGTAGAAAACCTTAGCCATTGGTTTCCAACCCTTTTATTTTGTAAGTGAAGAAGCAAAAAGATGCAAGAAATATAAATGATTTGTCCAAAGTCACAAAGTTATGACAAAGCCAGGACTAAAACTTAGGTTTCCTGACCCTTGCTCACATGGTTTTCTTCCCACCACCCACCCCACCCACTTTCCTGGAACCAGCAGAAAGTGATTACAGTATTGCAGCTCAGTAAAAGACCAAAGAACACAATCTTTTCTGTTCTTCCAATCCTCTGGAAGCTCAAGATATGTCTCTGAAGCGTTGAGAAACAGCTTTAACTAGTCAATATGTATTTATCGAGTACTTCAATTGCCAGTCACTATGCTACACATTGGATATAGAGTCATGAAAAGGGGACATTGTAAATAATAGTAGTAGCAGAAAGAAGAAGAAGAAGGAGGAGGAGGAGAGAAAGTGGGGGAGGTGGACAGGATGAAGAGGAGGAGAGGAGAAAGAGGAAGAAGAGAAAGGGAAGAAGAGGAAAGGAAGAGAAGAACAAAACATAATCCCTGCTCTCATGAAGCTTCTAGATTAGAGCTTATGTCTATAGAAGCATTTGGCAAGTAAAACTTACCCCCCAAAATCAGACTAGGACACAGAAAATCGGGGTCAGTGTAATTCAAGGCTCAGCAATAAGTGGTCCACAGACAAAATCCAACTTGCAGCCAGTTTTGTACAGCCTGCAAGCTAAAATTTCTACATTATTAGACTGTTGTAAAACACAGAACACGAGAGACAAAGAGAACATAGGATGTGTTGTGTTTGTGTGTATGCATGTGTGTGTGTTTTAGAATGGGGTCTTGCTATGCTGCCCATGCTGGCCTTTAACTTTTGGGCTCAAGCAATCCTCCCACCTCGCCCCCCAATAGCTGGGACTACAGGCATGCACCACTGCACCCAGCTTAGATATGTTTTTAACCACTTCAGGACCAGCATCAACTTTAGTCGACAGCCACAGATGAACACCCATAGCCGAGCATCGACTTTAGCCAACAGCCGTGATATGACTTTTCTAATTTTTCATTTATCACAAAAAAAATTGTGAACATTTAAAAATAACGTAATGAAAACATATATGTATATGTTACCTATTCTGATTTACATTACAAGTAAAGCTGCCTGTAAAGTAAAACAAGCTTTCAGTGCTTGAAAGCTCTCCTCATCACACAAGAGCAAAACGGATTCATCGTCAATGCACAGCACAAACTATCGTGCGGACTGTGAGTGCCGGCTGTGGGCGAGGTTTCGCAGCCAGTGAGCATGGTACCAAGGTGGTTAATTGACAAATAAAAAGTGTGTATATTTATAGCATATGATATGATGTTGTAATATAGGTATTCATTGTAAAGTAGTTAAATCAAGCTAATTAGCATATGTATTGCCTCACATGCTTATCATTTTTTGCATTGAGAATACAAAATCTACTGTTATAGCAATTTTTAAGTGTACGATACATCGTTATTAACTATAGTCACCATGTTATACAATGAGTCTCTTGGACTTATACTTCCTAACTGAAATTTTGTGTCCTTTGACCAACATTTCACCAACCTCTCCCATTCTCCAGCCCCTGGTAACCACCATTCTATTCTTCTATGAGTTCTATGCTTCTGTCATTCTACACTTCTATGAATTCAACTTTGTTGGAGTCCATATACAAGATCATGTGGTATTTGTCTTTCTGTGGGTGGTTTATTTCACTTAACATATGCCCTCTAAGTTTATGCATGTTGCAAATCTCAAGATTTCCTTAGTTTTATGGATAAGTGGTATTCCACTGTGCATATATACCACATTTTCTTTATACATTCATCTGCCAGTGAATGTGTAGGCTGATTCCATATTTTAGCTATTGTAAATAATACTACAATGAACATTAGAGTGAAAATATCTCTTTGACATACTGATTTCATTTCCTTTACACATACACCCAGTACTGGGATTACTGGTTCATATGGTAGTTCTATTTTTAATTTTTAAGGATCGTCCATAATGTTTTCTATAATGTCAACTTGATATTTTAAAACTGTAAGTTGTTTACAAAAGAAATATCTAAAATATAAGGATACAGAAACTTAAAATGAAAGGGCAGAAAAAATATACCATATAACCATTACATTTTTTAAAGCTATCTATATTAATATAAGAAAAAGACTTTAAAGCTAAAAGCCTTATCATAATGATAAACTTTTCAGTTCACCCCAAAGATACACTAACTAGAAATTTGTTTCTAATAGCCTAATAACATAGCCTCAAAATATATAAAGCAAAAATTGATGGAATACAACGGAAACAAGTACACAATCACAGTGGGAGCTTCAGAACAAACAACTGAAAGTGTTTTATCAGAATAAACAAATACCCTAAAAATTTTAAAGATTTAAGCAATACAACTACAAAGTTGACTTTATGGACAACCTTAGAACTCTGCACTCAACAAATCCAAAACACACACACACACACATTCTTTTCAACAACATGTGGAATATTTACAAATATTGATGGTCCATAAACAAGTTTCAAAAAATTTCTAAGGCTTGAAATGACCAGCATATATTTTCTGATCCTAATGCAATTAGGCTAGCTATCACTTACCAAAAAAAAATTTAATACACTTCTAAAAATATCCATAGAACAAAAACATTACAATAAAATTTATACATATTTTAACAGAATAATAAAACTACTACATATAAGTAATTATGAGCTTCAGATTAAGCCATGCCTTAAGAAAAAATTATAGCTGTATTAGAAAAAGAGAAAGATGGACAAAGAGCTAAGCATATATGTCAATAAGATACAAAAAGAAAATCAAAGGAGACATATAGACATATAGGAAGAGAAGTTATCTAAATAGAAAACAAACATCAGCAAAGAAAACCTACAAAGACAAAAGTTAATTCTTGGAGAAACTACTAAAATTAATAAACCTATAATGAGACTCCACATAGAAGGCACAAATAAAGTCAGAATTTTAAAATGAGGCATCACTACAGATCCCATAAACATTGAAATGTTCGTAACAGGATATTATGAAGAATTTCATGCCAATAAAATAAATTTAGTTGAAATGGACAAATCTCAACAATGACTGATATAAGAAGAGGTAGAAATAGAAAATCTGAATAGTCTTATAACATTTGAATACAAAATGGCCATTTTCAAATGGAGCCTTTAGCCAAAATTATAGAGAAAAGGAAAATTGGTAGCCTCTGGGCCAGCTCCTGCTATAGACATTTTTATATTCCCAATTTTTTGTTATAACTCTGAATGCCTTTACACCAGGCATGTGTCCCCCAATTAACCAAGGAGCCCACCTAGTGATTCACTCATTTAAATTACCTTTAAAAGACATTAAGTATTTCATTTTGTAACCCCTGAAATAATTAAAAATCATTAAGATTGTTACAATTTCAAATAGCTGCATGAAAAGAATTATCTAATGCTTCTTTTCTAAACTTATCACATTTAGACTGTTTTACAAATATCTCCAAGGGAATTTTCTTGTTCGGGGGTGTTTGGGGGTATGATATCTTTGCTTTTTGTAACTACATGTCAAGAGACCCCTTTCAGTTATAGTGCTTAACCATAGTCAAACTGCAGGGACTAGAGGGACTAGTCCCCAAAACTCCCTTTACTTCCAACACCAACTATAAGTTTGAGGAGTTGCCAAAACTACCCTAAGTTTTTATAATTCACCAGAAGGACCTATAGAACACACTGAAAGCTGCTATACTCACAGTTATGATTTATTATAGGAAAAGGATACAGATTAAAATCAGCCAAAGAAGAAAGAGATTCCTGGGAAAGAATGTGAGAGTGTTACAAACATGTAGTTCTGTTGTCCTTCCCCAGGGAGTCAGGATATGTTGCCCCCCTGGCATTGGTATGTGTCAATATACAAGCAGTGTTGCCAACCAGGGCAGCACACCTGAGCCTTGGAGCTCAAAAATTGTATTGGGCTTCATTACACAGGCATGGTTGATCAATTGCTTGCCCAAGCTGTTGAACTCAGTATCCATGTAAGCTGATACCATATGACCCAAACTCTCACCATAAATCACATGGTTGGCCTTTCTGGCATGGCCAGTTCACACTCCAAGGCCATTGGGCAGGGTTGGCCCCACTCTAAGATCCAGTGTGGCCAGATACCACTCTAAACAAAGACACTTCTATCAGGTGTAACATCGATTGCCTCCCAGAGGCCAAAGGCAAAGCCAGACCTCTCTTTAGTCAAGGCCAAATTCTTTATCACACAGTACTGACATATAAATGATGGTCCTTAATTCAGACTCCCCAGAGTCAGATCTATCAATCCATTTATTTACAGGCAGGAACATATGCGAAAGAACATTTCAGCAAAGGGGCTATAAAAAATAGTTACCAAAATGCAAAGTAACGTTATCTTTCTGTATTCCACAGGGACCTTGTCTCATGATTCTTAACATCATTCCCCTGGATAACTCATTGGAGATCCCAGCTGACTTTCTAAGGTAATTTCATCAAAAAAAAAAAAGCTAAGGAAGCCCCAATAACCTAATGAATAGGTTATTGGCCCCCTAAAAAGGCTAAGGCACACTGAAATCTTACCCTGCCTCTTTCTATTGACTATAGTTTTAGTATCTCTTTCCTTCTCAGCAATCTATATTGAGAACTGAAGAGATCTTCCCTACAGAATAAGCAGCTCTGTACCTTTGTCTTGGCTGACACCTTTCAGAAGGGGGGAAGAAAACAATTTAACATGCCTCTTCTATTTAAGTTGCTTGACAACCAGACTACCAACCACAAAGAGATCATGGGTGTCATAGAAACAAGCCTTGGGATTTTTCATAGTACTAGTCATACAAATCCCTCAATAAAGTGGTCATTTGCCTCTTAGCCATCCAACTTGAAAATTCTTATTTGTCAGTGATTATACATTCTCCAGAAACATTATTATAAAATTCTTCAAATAGGAAACTGTCTTTGTGAATTTCAAATCTGATTTACTTATGGGTTCTCAGGAGCATAGCATAATATATAGTAAGATATACCTTACTGATTTTGCTTAGCAGACTTTTCTTTCCCCCATAAATGGTGAGGTGGTAACATTTAGCCCAGGCTGCATTTGAATTATCATAGATTGTGAATTAATGGCATCCCTGTTTGACATACTATCTTATACACAGTGAGTGCTAAATAAATATTTGTTGTATTGAATTGAATTTGTGCATGTTTTATTACACATCCATGTTAAAGCTCTAAGAACTTGAGATAAGAGGTTAATGGGCTAAAGAGGTAAATGAGTTCAACTGTTTAATATCCAGGAATCTACATGAGAGAATACCAATTCCTCTGCCATGCATGTTGTCGAGGGAAGGCACTTTTGATCAACACTGATAAGACAATAGAACAAGTCATAGAGCCTGTGTCACTTTTTTCCAAATCCATGGTAACATATATATTCATCTTGTCAGATTGCTATATAAATAGATGAGGTAAAACAACATGGCATTTGTTGTACTTCAATTACTTTCTTGTATAATGTCAAGAAGTAAAAGCTAACAAACCATAACTTTTCTTGACATTTCCTCCCTCAAGTGACCAATGATGGATTTGCCTTTAAAAAGCATTCATCATTTTAAAGAAGGGTAGAGACAGTAGATTTCTTTGTGTTATTTTTTTCCCCCATTTTTTAAGGCAGTGGTTAAATTGAAAAGCCCAGCTCTCCTGCAGACGGGAACTAAACCTGGTTGATAAGATTACATGTTTCTAATCCTGGGGGATGTTTGAAGTCATCCAAGTAGAGACGGCATTTGCTGTCATAAATGGTCCAGAGATAGAACTGAATTCCCAGAGAGGCCAAGAGGCCACCCTCACCACCACAGCCCCCGCCTTCCCTCTGCCTTCAACCTACATTCCCATTAAACAGTGTACACTTTGCCAAGCAAATCTTTTTATGTGGCCAGATCTGACAGCCCAGCATGATTGTTAAGAACACTGGCATTTGAGTTTGAGCTACATAGTTTCAAATACCATCTCTACCATTTACCAGCTCTGTGACCTTGCTCAAATTACTTAAGTTCTCTAAACCAGTTACCTTTTCTATAAAACAGAGACAATAAAATAAAATTCACATAGTTATTGCAAATGATAAAATTAGCTAGTATGTTTAAAGTACTCACTGCAGGGACTGCTCAAAGAGAGAAAATGCCCCAGTTAGCAAACACATTGGAAGCGCCATGAAGACAGGAACAATGTCAGGTCTATTCATCATTTCTGTCCTCAGAACCTAGTACAGAAATTGGCCCAAAGGTGCTCAGTATTTGCTGAATGAATTAACGTATGGATATTATTATAATGCTGATTTTTATTATCACTCGTATTCCCCTTCAACATTAAGGATCAGTGTATCAAAATAATAATTATAGAAATGACTTATTGAGCATTAATAAGTCTAGTCACCTATGATTTCATGTATATTAAATTATTTAATCATCACAACTACCATAGGAGATAGCTACTATTATTGTTATAATTTTACAAATGAAGAAAATGAAGCACTGAGAGGTTAAATAACTTGTCCAAGATTACACAGGTAGTTAGTAGTGAAGCATGGATTTAAGCCCAGCAGCAAAGCATTAAATTATACTCTACCAAAAAGTAGGATAAGTCATTGTTCAAACAATAATGATAATAGCTACTATTTATTGAATACTTACAAAGTGATAATCATCTCAACAGTTTTTATTTTGTTTAACATTCACAATGACCCTAATTAGGAAACAGCCATAATTATCATTTTCCTCAGTAAGGAAACTGAGTCACAGATTAAACAAATTACCCAATAGTACATAGTTAGAAAGTGGCCCATCTTTAATTCAAACCCAGGCCTGTCTGACTGCAAAGACATACTTTTTGAACCCTGTCTGAGAACTTAGTAGGTTGGCTTGAGAATGACCCTTGAATTTCATTTTCAGGTTTTCTATTATGCTGAATATAGCAAAGATTGCCATTTGTTCACCATTGTGTTTTCTTTTCTTCCTGGACACACAGCTAGAGTACATTTTCCAGCCTCCCTGGTAATTGGGTGTTGCCATGTGACTGATTTGTAGCCAGTGAAATATGAGAGGAAGTAAAATGTTTTACTTCTAGGCTGGGCCCCTAGGTACCTCCCACACTTATTTCTCCATGCTCCTTCCCTTTCTCTACTGAATACAGAAGAGTATGGCCAGGTTTGGGGAAAACGGTCAGCAAACTACACCCAAGAGCCAAATCCAGCCTGCCACCTCTTTTTATAAATAATATTTTATTGGAACACAGACATGCCATTAATTTAAATATTATCTGTGACTGCTTTCATGGCACAATGGTGGCACTGAACAAATATGACAGAGACACTTTGGCCTGAAGAACCTAACGTATTTACTATCTGGTACCTTCTTAAAAAAAAAAAAAATGTAAATTCTGCTCTAGGGAATGGCAGAGCCACAAGATGGAAGGAGCCTGGGTTCCTGAATAAACTGGCCGAGAAGAGCCACACTGCCAACATGAACACTCACCCTGGACAGTTATTGAGCAAGAAATGAACTTCTGTGATGAGTCATTACATTCCTGGGTCTCTTTCTTAGAGCAGCTATCCTCCCATAACTTATTCACAGAACACTCTAGTTAGGGAAAATAATCCCATCCACATTCAGTAAGAATAACCTCTTTGGTTTTCCAAAATGATCCATCTCATTGTTTCTCCATATCATGCAGTCCTTACTTCTAGCTACCATACTCAGTAAGGGGCCACCTCCCCCCTTTCTGAGAGTACAACTCACAGTCATCCACATTGCACCCAGGAGACACCTGTCAATGTCAAGGTTCTACCTAGTGTCCCTACTGATTGGTAATTTTGGTGTTTTTTTTTTTTTAATTTGGGGTTTCAAAATTCCAAAGAGAAACAGAATTACAGCACTTATCCAATAATTCTGTCTCTGTTGAGAAATAGGATTCTGGCAAGCATAGAAAAAAATATATTTTTATTAGTATGTCCAAATCTAGAATGCAATAAAACACAGACCTTTCAAAAGTAAAGGAAAAAAATCCTTAGTACAGGGAAGGAAAGCCAAGAGAAGATTACTTACTGCTACAGAATCCAATATTGCAAAGCCCTTTTTTTTTCTTTTCCTATGCCACATTTTTAATGTCTTTGTGAGCTCAGTGTGCTGTGACTATCAATCACAGGAAACTACTGACATTGTGAAACTGCTTTTAAGATATACAGAGTTTTCAAAGCCAAAGTTTTCTGAAGAATAAAAATCTTCAAAGATTGTATATTTTCAAAAATATCTATTTGATACACCAAGCTGAATAATGGCCAGCTGTCCTTACTGTGTAACCGCTTGACAGAATGCATGAATATTGTTTTGTGGAAGACATTAAATATGGGAAACAAAACTTTCTATGAAAATTGCCAGTTCTTCTGTGGTCAATGCTATGGTCTGGATGTTTGTGTTCTCCCAAAATTTATATGTTGAAATCCTAACCCCCAAGGAATGGCATTAGGAGGTGGGGCCTTTGGAGGTGATTAGGGCATGAGGGCAGAGTCCTCATGATGGGATTAGTGCCCTTCTGAGAAGACACGCAGAGAACTCATTCCCCACCTTCTGCCATGTGAAGACACAGAAAGAAGTCAGCCATCTGCAATCTGTAAGACAGCTCTCACTAGAACTGACCCTGCTAACACTCTGATCTCAGACTTCTAGCTTCCATAACTGTGAGAGATAAAATTCTCTAGTTTGTACATCACCCAGTCTATTGTAACTTGTTATAGCAGCCCAAATGAACTAAGACAGTCAGCCTCTTCCATTAGTGGGAAGCACAGTTTCCATTATTGCTGAGCTACCGAGAGTGGACAGACCAGAATCAAATTAATTTGGGAGTAGACATAATTCTCCAAGTTCTACTTTGATGCTCAGGAAATTTTGATGTTTTTCAGACACATATGGATATGACTTCATATGTGGATATGGAGCCAAGTCTACTGTAGATTAGAGCCTATAGGAATTTGCATCCTCTTCTTGGTGGTCCAAAAAGACCACCTAAAGAAATAGATTCTGATTATCATCAATCATTCTTTCATTTAATAAGGTTGAGTTACTACTTATGTGCCAACCATCACTCCATACACTGGGAACATGATAATGAATGAAACATAATGAATTCCTTTGTTCATGAGGATCAAATTCCAATGGGGGAATGTAGGAAATAAATAAGTATATAGAATTGTAGTACAGATATTGAGGCAGAGTAATATTATATAGATAATATATTATCTATATATCAATATCAATATTGTATTGATGAGAATACAATAAAATTTAATCATAAAAGAAAACCATAAAAACTTTATTTGTTTGGAATTTTTAATTTATAAATATAATGAATTCACATATCAATAAAGAAACTACAATGAAAGTCAGAAAACATTGAAAACTCAATTTGACAGTGAAAAACACTGCCTGCCAGGACCTGCAGAGTATAATTAAACCATATATATATATACATATATATATATATATATATATATATTAAGCATCAAGACTCCCCCAAAAAATGATATTAGGAATGAAAATGAAGCATAAATACAGATATAGCAGCAATTAGACATTAATATTAGTATACTATAAACATTAGGCCAATAAATTTAAAAATTTAGATGAAATGGACAAACTGCTAGAAAACCATAACTTGCCAAAAGCAATTCAAGAAGAAAAGAATAAAATGGAGTAGACCAATAAACATTAAAGAAATTGAAGAAGTTGTTAAAATATACACACTAAAAGAAAAATGTTAGATAATTTTGCAGATGAATGTTACCTACCTTTCATGAACACATCCTACCTCTCTTACATAAAATTTTAGGGAGTAGAATAATAGTAATAATAGCTAAAACTAAAAGGTTGGACTATATTATGGGCACTATTGGAATTCCTTTACTTATTTTAACTGTTTTAATCTTCAAAATATTCCTATGAGGTTGATATTTTCATTTTCCAAATTAGGAAACTAAGGCAAAAAGAGATTAGGTTTAATTACTATAAGCAGCTAGAATAGAAAGGAAATAGAGGCCGGGCGCTGTGGCTCACGCCTGTAATCCTAGCTCTTGGGAGGCCGAGGCGGGCGGATTGCTCAAGGTCAGGAGTTCAAAACCAGCCTGAGCAAGAGCGAGACCCCGTCTCTACTATAAATAGAAAGAAACTAATTGGCCAACTGATATATATATAAAAAATTAGCCGGGCATGGTGGCGCATGCCTGTAGTCCCAGCTACTCGGGAGGCTGAGACAGAAGGATCGCTCGAGCCCAGGAGTTTGAGGTTGCTGTGAGCTAGGCTGACGCCACGGCACTCACTCTAGCCTGTGCAACAAAGCAAGACTCTGTCTCAAAAAAATAAAATAAAAAATAAATAAATAAATAAACAAATCTACACACTGACATTTACAGCACCTTTTTCCATAATTACCAAAATGTAGAAGTAACCAAGATGTTCTTCAGTAGGTGAATGGATAAATAAACTGTAGTATATCCAAAGGAATATTACTCTGAACTAAAAGGAAATGAGCTATCAAGCCATGAAAAGACATGGAAGAAACTTGAATCATATTACTAAGTGAAAGAAGCCAGTGTGAAAAGCCACACACTGTATAATTCCAACTATATGACATTCTGTAAAAAGCAAAACTTTGGAGACAGTAAAAAGAGCAGTGGTTGCCAGGAGGCAGGAAGGAGGGAGGCGTGAAGACGCAGAACACAGAGGATTATCAGGACAGTGACACTATTAGTGTGACACTATAATGACAGATACATGTCATTACACATTTGTCCAAGCCCATAGATTATACAGCACCAAGAGTGAACTATAATGGAAACTATAGACTTTGAGTGATAATATGTCAGTGTAAGTCCACTTGTACCAAATGTACCCTTCTGGTAAGGGATGTTGATTAGTAAGGCAAGCTCTCCATGTTGGGACCAGGGGATATGCGGGAATTCTGTACTTTCCATTCAGCTATGCTGTGAACCCAAAGCTCCTCTAGCAAATAAAATCTGTTAAAATATGTATATATTTATTTTTTTTTTTTTTTTTTTTGGGAGAGACTGAGCCCTGGAATAGTATCTTATAAGCAGATTTAATCCTGCTGCAAGGAAAATAATCCAAGCGATGGAAACACAGAACATTCTCTTAGAAGGCAAGGACAGCCTGGGGACCATTTCATAGCATTGAGGTACAGATTTGGTATCAGAGAACATGATAATCAATACTATAAAGAATATCTTGCATAGAACTTGCACCTGTGCAATAACTTCTTTAAGGTAAACACTTAGATGTGAAATTTCTGATCTTAACTTTACCAATTATTACTTTCCAAATCTGTCATTATTACCCCTCCCCCCCCCATCTATGATTTTGCAAGTTCCCCGTGTCCTGGCCAACATTTGACATTAGACTTCTTTCATTCGATGTGTGAAAATATTTTGTTTTAGTTTTAATTTTCATTTGCTCAATTACTAATAATTACTAATGAGATGGTCATTTGAATTTCTTTCTGAATTGTCTATTCATATCCTTTGGCCATTTTTCTATTGTTGTCTTCTATTGACTCATAGGCATCAATATATAGTCTTGCATTAATCACTTATTGTTATATGGATTTCTGTGTTGAATAGGAGTGTATTTATTTTTGGATATTGACCTTGTATCAAGTATCTTTATTGAACTTCTTTAATAGTTATAATTTGTGCATTCTCTTTGGGTTCTTACATCGATAATTACATTGTGAATAATGACAGTTTATTAATCTTGCGTTGATGC